CAGGGCTGTGTCATCTGCATAACACAGATTCTTGATGTAAGGAAGGATACAACCCTGATTAGACCAAGGAAGAAAGAACATGGAGAACTGCTGGCTGACTCTAGAGACCAGCAGCTACTCAGAGGGGGAGTGGAGGTTTTTTGGTTTTTGTTTTTTTAAAAAAATTCCTTCATTAATATACAATTCCCACGCCCCTTCCCCCCCAACCCCACCCCGAGTACACTTCTCTATGCAACCTTAATTCTGGATTCCTGAGATAACCATAATACTCAATCATATATCACTTCTAATCTGTTATTTCCCTCAGCTGTTTCAATACAATATACATAATTTATCCAGTTTGTTCTGTCATACCCCCACCCTGATGTCAGACCCATTCTACAACAGTGGCACCATGCGTATTTGTACTTCTGTGACTGAGATATTTCACTCAGCATAATGTCCTCCAGGGTCACCCACTTTGAATAATATTGCATGAGTTCCTTGTTTTTCAATACTGCGTAGTAGTCCATTGTGTGAATATACCACAGCTTCTCTATCCATTCGTTTGTTGATGGGCCCTTAGGCTGCTTCCAACTCTTTGCTATTGTAAACAAAGCTGCAGTAAACATGGGTGTGCATATATCTGCTTGGGTGGCAGACATGGTCACTTTAGGGTATATTCCCAGTAGTGGAATTGCTGGGTCAAATGGTATCTCTATTTGCAATTTTTTGAGAAAGCACCACACCGCCTTCCACAGTGGTTGCACCATCTTACATTCCCACCAACAGTGAATAAGAGTTCCAGTTTCTCCACATCCTCGCCAGCATTTGTTGCTTGCTGTTCTATTTTGCTATTCTTACTGGGGTGAGATGATATCTCATAGTTGTTTTTATTTGCATCTCTCTTAGAGCTAGGGATTTTGAACATTTCTTCATGTGCTTGTTGGCCATCTGAATGTCTTCTTCGGTGAAGTGTCTGTTCATATCCTGTGCCCATTTTTCTATTGGATTATTTACCTTTATCTTATTGTGGTGGTCAAGTATTTTATAAATTCCGGATGTAAGTCCCTTATCTGACATGTCATTACCAAATATTTTTCCCCAGTCTGTGGCTTCCCTTTTTACCCTGTTGGAGAAGTTTTTGGATGTGCATAGGGATTTGATTCTTAGAAGGTCCCATTCATCTATTTTATCTTCTCCCAGTTGTAGATTTTCCAGGATACTTGGAAGACTTTTTATGGGTTTTTATTGTCTTACAAAGAAATTGGGAGGTAGCTGGAGGCAGCTGCCTGTTACTGGATAAGGGAGAGGGTCAGGGGACGGGGACCCTTATTCCTGGGGAGGGAAGAGGACCAGTGTTGCAGCTGTAACAGAGATAAACAGTTACAGCTGCTGCTTTGATCATTTCTGTCGCTTTTCTGGGAAAGGGAGGGCGGGCAGCTCTGTGGCCCTGACAGTTGATGAGTCTTCCTCCAATCCTGACGCCACACCCCTCCTCACAGGACCGGGCCTGGCGGATGATCTGTTCCACATAGAGATTGAAAAGGCGTGGAGGTAGGATGCATCCCTGACTTACACCTTTCCTGATCTTGAACCATGTAGTATTTATTTGAACCACGGTCTTTGCAATTACTTGCTATGCGTGAGAGAGCTGGAGAATGACTAGGGTTGATAGAAGAATCGATGCCTTCAAGCGGTGATGCTGGAGAACAGTCTTGAACATCCATGGACTGCCAAGAAAAGAAATAGCTCTGTCTTGGAGAGGTGAAACCAAGTTTCTCCTTGGAGGCTAGGACTTTGAAGCTCCCTCTTACATACTTTGGGCACATGGCCAGGAGAGACCGATTCTTGGAGGAGGACATCATGCTTGGAAGGGTGGATGAACAGCACAGGCCAGGGAGACCCCAGATGAGATGGATTGATACAGTAACTGGGGCACTGGGGGTAGATGTGTTGGGGTCACTGAGACTGGCTCAGGACAGAGCAGGGTTCAGAGCTGTTCATACGGTCACTGTGAGTTGCAGGTGACTCGACAGCACATAACAGTGTTTCCTTGCTCTATCCTGACAACTGCCTCCTGGTCCAAGTCTAGGTTTTGCATTAACACAATCAAGTGTTTGGGATTCCCATTCTTCTCAGAGTCAGCGCAGTGTGTTGTGACCCACACTGTCCTTGGCTAATTGTGTGTCTGCTCCTGGGCTGTGGCTCTCAGGTGTGTCGTCTGCCTGGTCATCAGGAGAAGGGTGGACAGTCTCCTGACAGCCTCCAGAGGGTGTCTGTGAGTCATGACCGATCCTCTGTGAGCAAGAGCGCACAGAGATAGATGCACAGTGAGGCAGGGCGGTGAAGGCACACGCTTTAGGGCCCTGCACGACTGTCCCCTCCAGCGCCTGGCACGCACTTTGTCTGCAAGGGACGCACGTGCTGTGAGCGTGTGCAGGAAGCTGCTTTGTTCCCCGCGTCCTTCTCGCCCGTCCGGATTCCTCGGTGCCATTGGAAGCGCAGGAGGCCATGGATGTTTATAGTCAGATGTTGTCTGAGCGGACGCTCAACTCTGCAGGACTGCGTTGGATAATACCCCGTTACCTTATTTATACGGACGGTTCAATATCGAGGGATTGTCTAAAACGCCAGGAGAGCCAGTCTGCCTCCCTCAGATGAGTCAGATGGGAAAAGTGGATATGGCCCAGTGGTGAGAAGCTGGGCTGCAACCCCAAAGGCACGTGGATCAAATCCACCAGCTGCTCTGCGGGAGAAGATTGGGCAGTCTCCTCCTGTGTGATGAACTGCTGCCGAAAACCCCCTGGAGGGTCAGCTACGGGTCAGTTCCTCCTCGGCTGTACACAAGAACAACAGGATGACCACGGGTTCTGGTTGTTGTTGTTACGTGCCATCAAGTCGCTTGTGTATCAAAGTGACCCTATGTACAACATCCCTAAAACCTGCTCTGTCCTGTGCCAATCACACTGTCTCTGACACGCCCATCCTGATTACCCCAGTCACTAAATCAATCCACCTCATAGAGGGTCCTCCTCTCCTGTGCTGACCCTCCACCCTCCCAAGCATGATGTCCCTCTCCAAGGACAGTCCCTCCTTGAAACATGTACAAAGTATGTCAGGCGGAGCTTGAGAATCCTTGACTCCAAGGAGCACTCCAGCTTCAACCTCTCCAGGACAAACCTCTTGGTTCTCTTAGCAGTCCATGGTGTATTCAACACTCTTCTCCAGCACCACAGCTCAAAGGCATCAATTCTCTTTCTAGCATCCCTAGTCACTGTCCAACTCTCCGATGTATTGCACACAGTTGTAAAGACTTTGACCTGGATCAGGCGCACCTTAGTCTCCCGCCTGACGTCGTTGCTTGTTCGTACTATGGAGAGGTCTCTCACAGCCAACTTTCCCAATGCAATTCATATCTTGATTTCCTGGTTGCTGTTACCAAGAGTGTTTACTGTGGAGCCAAGGATTATTTGTTCTTCACGGCATTACAACAGAGAAGTAATCGCGTTGGGGAAATTGCTTCTCTTTCCTTTACTCTGTGGAAAACAGCATGTGGCTGGAATTCAAGGAAATCATATGGTGACACCCTCTGGCCTTAGAACACCTTACCGTTAGTGTTGTGTTCTTCTAGAAGTTCACATCAACTCACAGATGGACACAGTCCCACGAAGCATTCCAGGCCCCTGGCAATCCTCTATGGGGTTACCAAGACCATAGGATTGAAGGGGGAACTTGCCATCTTCTCTGGGGGATTTGAACCACTGACCTTGTGGTTAGCAGTGCATCACATGATGTGCTGCACCACCAGAGTGCTGAGAGTCTGGATGTTTACTAACAAGTTGTTGCTGTGGTGGTGGAGGTGGTGGTCATG